AGATTCTGATAGAGGGTCTCAATAAAACGTTAATTTTTTATTATTATACAGATCCCAATAAATTCGGACATTTACATTTACCATAAAACTTAGAACATCCTGCATATTGAATTTAGATATAAATAATAGTTACGAAGAATACGAGTTTCTAAATTAAACCCACTACTAAAAATACACTATTTTTCCTTCATATTCTTCAATGGTAAGGTGAATTATCTCCATTATGTACTGATCTGAGCCACTAGAACAACTTTAACCGACGATCAACAATAAATTAAATAAATGTTAGCACACTGAACAACAATGTTTAATGAAATAGAAATCCAAGAGTTTAACAAAACACAGTCCAAAAAGCTAAATCACAGGAGATAATCAACAATTTTACTAAGCACCATCTAGTCGAAGGTGGCCTTAATTTACATAACAAAAGAGTACTTATAGTAATCTGTCAAACTTACAGAATTATTTTATTTGATTTTACTCTGTCTATCACAACCAAAAGTACAAAATCCAATTACTTTTCTTTGGCACTATTTGTTTGTTAACTTCAATTGCCCTATTAAAATAAGTAGATCATAAGATTTATCCTGTATTCTCTCTCCGATTCCTTTCTGTCAACCTTATGAGATTTTCTTGTTTTTTATTTGTGTTAAATTCTATATGTTGCAATTACGTCATTTTATTAATTTGATATGATGTTTGTTTAACGACAAATTAATTACAAGTTAATGATGCTTTATGAATCCAATGAGTTAAACAATTATAATAACCTTTTTTCTCTTGCATATTTGTTCATTTTGTCTTGTATGTTCTTAAAATACAACAATCTCAATAAATTTGTTTCACATTGCAAATCTCATTTTTGTATTTCGTTTAATCTCCTTCTGATAAATCCAATACATGAAAAAATCGATTAGTTTTACTGCTATGGAAAAATATCTGATATTTCATATTTATATCAAACTGGAATTTTATCACTTACCCTCTTGATTATTTAACTTAAGATTAGTCCTTTTTTTAAAGAAACTTTCAAAGTATTATTTCACATTGAATTATTGTGCTTAAGATTAAGATTTGTTCAGATGTTATTTATTAATAAATGAATAACTTAAATTTCATCTTACTGTGAATCATATATCATAAGTTACACACCCCTTATCGAGCAAATATCAACTTGACTATTTACTTGTCATACTATAAATATATATATATAGTCATTGTTAGAGGTTAATATATGCCATCAATTAAATAACAGTATACCTTTTTCCAAACTCTTTTGTTTAACTATTCATCAGTATTATTCTAGGATGTCCGAAGCTGCTTTGCATTGAAATCATGAACTAATCTTAGCTAGACTACTATTGAAAACCTGGAAGCACTGAACGACCATTTTATTCGAGTATGAGACCCCTCAGCAGTGTGCATCCATAATTCTGCGCACAGTAATCGAACTCAAGACATTCCACATAACCTGTAGACCACTGAGTCGACTATCAACACTGTGAATTTCTAGTCTCCATCAGTTCACGACATTGTGCGTTCAACTTTTATTTTCTTCGGTGGGTAACTGCATCATAATTTTAGTGCAATTCAGCAAGCTTCACAGCTCCATACTTAAAATTAAACTGTATTGTTCAAACGTTTTTACTTTCTTAAACTTCTCGTTTGATTTGAAGAGGAAATTTACCAACATTTATAGAAATTTATATAAATCACACAAACTTCTGATTTAAAAGTGCTGTCTGTGAAAATCATGATATACAGAATGCGAAACTACTCTTTCTAGCTATCATAAAACCTTCAGATCTCTTATATAACTTGATTAAGTGAGACTACAAAGAAATGAATAAATGTTGAGATACATATCACTTTAGCACTGAGCTATATCCCAATATAGGCTGTCAATTACCAGTAAATGATATAAAAAGCGGCATGATCCTATCAAACAATATAACGCAGAAGAAAATACCTTACTCATATTATTATTCACCATATGACAAGAATATACTGTAATTATTGTGATTTCAAGACACTAATTTATTTATACTAGCTCGTTTTATATGAAAAGTCAGCGACCGCAATACGTTATAATGTATCTAGATTTTCATAAGGACTGTGGAAAATATTACAAAGAAACAAGTACCTGGGCCAAGTAATTAAAATCAATCATCTGAAAATTGTATTAATTACTGATTACCCTTAATTTTAGATAAATTGTAAAATATGATTTTCCGTAATGGCTTAAAATAAATATTTCCATTTTATTAACTATTATTATTACAGAGAGTAACCGTAGTTGTATTGTAGTAAACAAGAATACAACTGGGGACAATCGAATGCATTTGACACGAAAATTACAGAATATCTCACTAAATTATGACTACCATACAGCAAATAGTTAATTTGCAAAATAACAAACAATTGTCTCAATCTTGACTGCTCTTTCTGCAAATATCAGTCCATCTTCCGTGATTTGATTGTTCATGCATTTTCATACCAATCACGTTCCATTTCAGTCCTTTTCTTATCAATCTTCTAGTGAAATACATTCCATGCCTGACCATCATCATATACAACTTAAGTAACCCACACCACAGTATTATAGCCCAGTTTTTTTTGTTGAACACAGAAAATCACCAATTATTGTTCACCATAAGGAAATTTTTGTCAACGAACTTACTTATTTCAGTACGATTTCTATGTCAAATGAGTAGAATATTTGTATTTTTTTTAAATCGACAAACGATGATTGAAAATGTTTCACTTAACCAATATTACCCTATAGTTTGTGATTCCCATCTTTTTTTTAAATTGAATTTAAATTAATCCACATAAATTGTTCATTATAACTAGTTTATTTTAATAAATGAAGAAAATATAAATAATTGATTAGCTCTCCACAATTGATTTCAGTAAAATGAGTCCCCTTTAAATATTCCCTTTCATGTATAAGAAGAGTAAATCATAAACGCTAACCAATTATTACTTAATCTTAATTCAATGACATAATTAAAAATATTACCGACAACCAATTTTATAATAAAAACTATTTCTCATAAAAAGTTTTGTTCTCTACTCAAAACTTTTAATTAAAAAAAAGAGCATCATTAATTCTATTTAGTATGGCAGCATTCTTTATCTTATATCTTTCATTAAAAATTAACCATCTTATTGTCTAGATAAAATTTAGTCTCAAATAAATGAATATTTTAATTTATTAAGTATTATGGGGATCTTTGAATTGCTATTAAATAACATAGAAGAAACACTTGTCTCAATCAGACATTTTATATTTTTATGATTTCATCTTCTTCAAATCATCATCATCATACAGTAAATAGAATATTTAATTATTTTCAACAACAACAAAAAATATTAGTGATAAACACGAAACAGTGAAAAAGAAGAAGAAAAAAATAAAGAAAAACTAAAATGAATTGATCAGTTTAATTTGATTTATTTAAAATTACATTGTGGTTTTCTTTTTTTCTTTTCTTTTTTCCTGTTCAAATTTATAAGTGGTCAAAATTGGCCATAAATTTCTATCTTTTTTCATAATTGAAAGCGTGAGTCAATTGAAGTTAAACCACCATGGAAAACCTAGAAGCACGCGAAGGCAGTTTCATCCTATTGTGGGACTCCTAAGCAGTGCGCAACCACAATCCCGACTCTCTAGAATCAAACTCAGGACCTATCAGCCTCGCGCCAGAGCACTTAACCACGCTTTCAACTATGAAAATACTAAATTTCCACAAAACCCCTTCTGATAATAATAATAATAATAATAATCATATGCTCACTAGTGACTGACTTCGAGAGGTAAATCCAGGAGAAGTAGTGACCAGTGGAGTTCAAACCACGTCTGTTGTGAGATATAAACTCACTGAAGACAATTGGTGAATGGTTGCTCAACTTCGTTAGAAATTAAAATTGTTGGATTCCGGCCCAGTGGGCTATCGGCTAAGTGCTCTGGTGCGAGACTGGTAGGTCCTGGCTTCGAAATTCGCGAGTGCGAGATCGTGGTTGCGCACTACTGAGGAGCCCCACAATAATACGAAACGGCCGTCCAGTGTTTCCAGATTTTCCATGGTGGTTTAGCCTCAATTGACTCACACTTTCAACTATGAAAATACTAAATCTCCACAACACCCCTTCTATCTTTCAGTTTTTTCAAACGTCATTAAAAATTATTTAGTTTCTGATAATTAAACAGGATTGAATGAAAATGGTACTTGAAAATTATGTATAAACGTAAATAGATTTTTTTGAACAAGGTGCTTTCATTTAAAGTTTGTATTTATCAAAGCATTTCAATGCAGATTAATCTTTGCTTTGATTTAAAAGTCCAGGTTATGTAGTAGGAAATCAAGATCTATGGAGATAACTGGATCAGCAATGAAGTAGCGAATTATTAATAATCTTGTGATAACAATCCTGTTGTAGTGAAAACTAATTGAGGTATTCTGACTATCTACATGAACCTAAAGATATTCTCGTACTTATATACTACTGATGAGTTAACGTTTATGAAGAAATAGTTATTGAATGTTTGTCAGCTTTTAGTGATTCCCCAGCTAGTGAAATAAAATTTGAAGTTGATTAACAAACAATACAAATCACTCAAGTAAACTTCATATGTAACTTCATATGTAAACTTCACATATATATATGCACCAAAAATATCCAAAGCTAACATATTAAATTTATAACACACTTAAAGGTCTTCATATTCAACTAGAAAAAGATTAAATACATGAAGTGGTTAGGATGTCACGTCTAAGAATGACAAGTTGTTAATTAATCATTTCCATTAAATCAAGTCTGCTTTATTTAATATTCCATTCATTAGCGATTTCCTTATTTGACAACTATTTTTATAATAAACATTTTTTCTATTCTTTTTTTATTAACAGAACTTTATTACTACCATAGTGTATAGTTCTATTGAACTCATCTTAATAAATAACTATCTTCATTATTGAAATACAACTATATAATCTATGAATAAAACATTTGCAAAATTAGCATTTAGCAAGCATTCAAATTTGTATTCTTCTTCGGGTCAACTAAAGTATTCATCTTCATTAACTATGCCTAAACAACAACAATTACAAAATAAAGATTCTAACGGAGTATCAACTAATTCATGTCTTTATTGTGTTACAAAAACTGTACATCCAAGATTAGGACGAGGTGAAACTTATATTTGCGGTTATAAACCATATCGTTGTGAAATATGCAATTATTCGACTACAACAAAAGGAAATTTAGCAATACATCAACAATCGGATAAACATTTAAATAATCTTCAGGTAAGATTTCTTCAGTACGAAATAAAATTGCTTTAAATTTGTTTTGTGTTGTTCACTTTATTATGTCAACATTTATTCACTTATTTATGATGGTATTAGTGGTACGATTCCGTAGACGACACATTAGGTTATGATAATAAAATGTCTTGAAAGTACAGTAGCTGTCTATTACTTTATAGCTTCAACCATATCTTAGACTTAGTAGATGTGTTTCAAAAGAACTATATCAGTTTCCTAGGTATACTTTTCCGGTATTCACACATCATAACTAGAAAATTTATAATCATAATTCTACAAATTCCTCCAAGATCATATTTTATTAATTGTATAATAGAGAAGTAATCTTCAATTAAAAAGAACCACCTAATGGAGTATCATATCTTTTTATTCAATTACTTCTATATTCACTAGTTTCATGAATAAAATAAATTCTGTACTGGTAAATATTTTTATGAATTATTATAGATTGTAATGAGGAAACAGAAATTCTATAAATTTACCATGTTCACTTCGATGTCGGATAACTCGAGAATACAGCACATCATATGATAGAATGAACACTAAATTCTATATATCATTATATCTAAATACTTTGAAGATGATCTAAAATCATTAACTGTGATAAAAGGCTAAACTGACAAATTCACCTAGAAAGCATAATGTTAAATTTTTGTTTAGATTCAAAGTATTTCGAAAGAACGATATCATGCATCAGATAAACAGTGCTTTTCCAAACAAATATACTAATAGAATAGTTTTATTAGTGATCAAACAAGAGATAGATAATCTTTTCAAATTTAAAGTATTTATAGCGCGCAAATTAAGGCTCTTAAAATTTTACAAATTGTAGTGTTCAACTTGACATTATATTGTTTTTTTAAGCAGTGGATTTATTGATAAGTTTTGATTTATGATGACACATGGAATCTTTTTTTAATTATCAGAAAGAGGATTTTGTGGATATTACAGTAATTTAATGGTTGAATTCATGAGTCAAGTAAAGCTAGACCACCATGAAAAACCTGGACCGATAGGCTCACGTTTCGAATCCCGCGGGCAGTATAGTGGGTGTGCACTGTCAAGAAGTCCCACACTAGGACGAAACGGCCATCCAGTGCTTCCAGGTTTTCCATGTTGGTTTAGCTTTTATTTATTTTCAATAGGTATTTGTGATTTTACATAAAAGATAATAACTGACTAAACACTGGAACACCCGTTACTACCAATGAGTATTGTATATTAAGTAAACATCTAAACCATCGGTTGGTGATGTTTTAACTCATTTCAACACAGTATACATATTTTTTTCTAAAACTTTCGTTTATAGTTTCTTTTTTTTTTCTAATTGTAGGAACACGAACAAACAATGTCACAGACAATATTCAATACAGCTGATACAAGAAGTAATAATAGTGAAAGTCCTGATTGTACTCGCCATCAACAAAATAATCTGCATCAAAATCTTACCCATTTAAACTCAGCCAGTAAAAAATCAAACTCATCATGCGATTTGAACATTTTAACTGCACAAACATTATCTGAAAGACGAACGATATCATCATCGCAACAAAATATGAAACTAGATCAGAAAACTATTGAATTTCTTCAGAACAAAACTGAGAATGAAAAAGTCATAGATAATATAAATATAAATAAAGTCATTACAAATTTTCATGAAATAGGTTTACCCAATGGTGAAGATAGAATGCATCAACCTAGCTGTTCTTCATATTCATCTTCTGTCACTGATTCGACCTCTTTTTGCTATGATCATCCATTGAAAACATTCATACCTCTAACATCATCTTATGACAATCTACTATGTAATCTTACTGAAACAGCAAACCATCCATTAGCTTGCCAAGTATGTTGTACATTTACAACGGATAATTTAGATGTCTTAATTGAACATGTCGAACGGAATCGTGTACCGTTTGATTTAGACTACGTTACAAATTTAATAACTTTACATACAAATGGTTTTTGGTTTTGTAAACTATGTTCTTACAAAAGTCCTTTAAAGGCTAATTTTCAATTACATTGTAAAACAGAAAAACATGCACAAAGATTAAGTTTTCTTGTACATGTTTGCGAAGGTGGTTTATGGAATCAGTCACGTATTCTATCAACCCTAAATATTTGTGAAAATAAAATGTTAGATATCAGTAACAACAATAATATACAATGTTCAACTACAAAAGGACAGAATTATATTACATCATCAATGAATATAACGACTAATCTTACTACTCATAATAATAACAGCAGTAATGTAGGTAACAACAGCAGTAATTGCAATAACGTCAAAAGTAATTTCAATTTAACATCATCAATACAGTTGTACTGTATAGCCTGTGATCTATTTACAACTTCAGTGCATAAGTTTCGATTACATTGTCAGACACTCAGTCACATTGGAGCTGTGAAGATATTTACACATTTAGTCAATCGACGCAATTATCTATGGAATACCTTGGCTTCTTTAAGTTTGTTCTATGTCGATTTATTGAAGTCTCTTATAGATGAAAATGATAAAGATGACGAGACCGATAATACACATACAGATTCTTCCCTGAACAGTGTGAATAAGTTAAAACATCAAACAAAGTTTAATAAGATTTTATTACAATTATCATCAATTCTTACAAACTTACAAGTTGTTTATGTATGTCATAAAAATTATTTACCATTTATATCACCATTGACAAATTGTTCATCCCCTTCATCCAGTAGTCCTAATATTAATTTAATGTCATCTGACAAATCATCTCAACAATATGTCACTCGTTTTAAGTCACTAACAAGTGCTTTAAATCATTGGCATGTTAGTGAACATCAAAGATCAATCGCCAAACAAGTATGTTAAATATTATGGAAAGTCTGATCATTATTAGTTCTTGTAATAACTTGGAGATTACTCCTGCCTTAAATTAAGTATGTTTTATCGGTCACTTGTGTATTTTATAAGGTACATCTATTTGAGATGATTCTTTGAGTTAGTTCCATTTTCTTATATGATAATCAAGTATGCTGTAGAATATTGTCTAAATCGTGAGAAACTATGTTCATCTACCCAAGTTAGCGTCAAACAATTTCAAAAAGAACATTTCTTTTGCCAAAACTTTCAGTCATCAGTTACTATCCATGCACACATACACACATATATATATGCATGCTTACTTACTTACCTACCTACCAACCTACTTAATTAATTTGTTAGTTACCTATACCTGTTGCCTTTCGTGAAGCATAAGTCGCCGATTATGGATCTCCAACTAACTTTATCCTCGTCTCTCCTTTCCGGTTGTTTTCAAATGCTATTCATGCCTTTGATATCTGCCTTCAATTCCCGGATATATACATATTCCGGTCCTAATAAAGATCCTGGCTCATCGTTCTAGGATGATTTGCTCGAATGATACCATTGTAGATGAGTTAATTAATATTCATAACCTAGTTGGTAGGAATGGATACCCAACGAAATTCATCGACAAATACTAGAAAGAGATGAAAACAAGAACAAAGGTGTCTACTGTTCCGAAGAAATTACTGTTTTTAAAATTATGATTCGTAAATGATGTTACCGAGGAACTTTTGACCTAAAGGTTAAAAAAGGGGATACAGAAAACATTTAATGCAGCTAGACTGAATGCATAATTATCGATTACAAGTAATGGGATAATAATATATTTGGATAATGGTTTACTACATTATTTATGATTCATGCTTCGTTTCAGTCTGAGTTTACCAGCTGAACGGACTTGCACCTCAGCGTTAATGTTTACACAAATGTGCTATACTGAGGTATTCACCGAAGACAGGAATATACGAGCGAAGGTTGATCAGTATTTAATTCAGAATAAAGACTACAGGATAAAGCGAACCCTAAAGAATAATGTAAACTCTTTCCATAACTACTTTTACAATATCAATCCCAACCCCTCATTCACTTGATGAAATTTTAAAGTAGTAAACTTTGAAATAGAAAAATATTTAAACAAGAATTATAAAGTTTCCATTAATTAACTGAATTTTAAATCATGTCTAAAACAAAAATATTTTGCATACATGACTATCGTTCGATGAATAACATTGGCAAGTGATGTCGTTCTTATTATCTAAATTAAATTCTTATCCTTAACTCTATTTCTTAGTCCATGTGCGCTATATTTCGTCCACTATTAATAAAGTTGAAATTATTACAGCTATTCTTTACTTCGGATTTCAAAAAGAGTTATTTGTAGTTTTATATCACATACTAGCTTCAAGTAGACAGTTATCGGGTGCCCACTCAGTGATTTTGAAGTAAAGCGTTCGCAGTGTGTCTCGATGGTGCTAAATTTTATTCCTGGTAGGGTCACGGATCCCCGCTGCTGATGAGCTTCATACTAGGACTAAACAGCTGTTCAATGTCTATGTTTTTGTTGTCAAACAAAGTCATTCAGTGATGTAAAACTCCAGATTCAGCACTTTCTAGAAATCCGATAATAAAAATTGAGTTTATTTGTTAACGAGTATGCTAGCAAATAACAGTTTCTTAAATATCTACTTAAAAACAAAGTAATTGATTATATTCTGAGTAAATTTTAATCTGAATCAAATTGAACGAGTAAATGTATGATCAATAACCCAGTAAACAAAAGGGAACATTACTCACTAGTATGACAAACATAGAAATCAGAAGGGGGTTTTGTGGAGATTTTTTAGTGATTTTATATAGTTGAGATCATGAATCAATCGAAGCTAGACTACCATAGAAAACCTGGAAGCATTGGACGGTTTTTTCGACCTATTGGGGAACTCCTCATCATTGCGCATCTACGATCCTGCCTCGCGAGATTAGAACTCAGGACCTACCAGTCTCACGCCAAAGCACTTAACCTCTAGACCACTGAGCTGGCCCACATCCGACGATGTTAATGTCTAACTTCAACCAATCCACGAAATTGAGCAACCATTCACCAATGTCTTCAGTGAGTTAATGTTTCCCAACAGATGCGCACTGCTGAGGAGTCCCACAATAGGACGAAACGGCCGTCCAATGCTTCCAGGTTTTCCATGGTGGTCTAGCTTCAAGTGATTCATGATCTCAACTACATAAAAAGAGAAATCACTTAAATCCCCTTAAATTGATTAATTATATATAATGAACATAGTATTCACTCATCATTTCCTAGTGAAATTTTTTTAACCACCATTCCTATATTTATATTTACATGTATTTACTACCATTCAGTAAACACATAAACATTCCTAGTTAATCCATCTAAGAAATATATGTACATATCAGTAATAATAATAAAAACAATAAAAAAGCTTTCTATCCCATGATTTCATCATCTTATGGTGTATACTTTACCTTTCATTATGAATCGGGTAACAAATAGTAAACAACCTGTAGAGATTATCTTAATTTTTTTTATTAATTTATCTTTTACAGGATACTTTTTTTGAAAATTTAATTATCAGTAATTATAAGTGAAAATCTTTAATAATACATCTGTGTTGATTGTTGACTTGGGATAGCCTTACAAAAATGTTTACAGTAATTTCTTTTTTTTTAAAAAAAAAGAGAAAGAAAAGAGAAAGAAAGAATTAAAATAATAATTTTAGTATTTATCTAACAAATAGAGTCATAAAAAATATTTATTTTAGAAAATTTTTGAAATAAATATAAACGTTAAAAGTAAAATGTTTGATTCTCTGATGATGATGATGATGATGATGATGATGATGATGATGATGATGATGTGGAGGAGGAGGGGGAGGGGGGGGAGGATAAATGAAATCTGTGAATATGAAAATTATCACACGAAATTACTAATTAATAAAATAATTTCTGTATTTTATTTAACATAAAATAGTCAAAAGTAATCAGTGGAAAATTGCATCCAGAAGATGTATGTGCAAAGTTAACAGAATTTATACACTCTAATGGATTCCAAAGAATTTACTTAGATCTTTTATTCACACCATGTTATATAAATATATATAATCTGAGCGCAGAAATGATTTTTGCCAATCGAGTAAATCAGCAACTATCTTGAATGTAAATCTGCGTTTGTACAGTACAACCCCTACAATCTACAAGCTGTTCATTGATCTACTTGAAAAGAGATATTTTCTTTAATAAGTTGATTTTTGGGACCTTTCAAAATTTTATAAATTTGTTAGGAGTTTATCTCAAGTTCAGCCAAAATTTATCGTACGTCAATCTGTTTGGTTACCCAACAGATTACATGCTCAATAAGTGATTGTAATATAGTAATCACTTACATATCGTATAACGATTGTTTTCAAATACTACTCACTATACTACTTTGTAGGACTCAATAGCTAAGTGGATAATGCGATGGCGTTTAAAGCGAAAGGTACTGTGATGCAGGGACACCCAGCTGACGAGTCCCAAATAGGACGAAACGTGCGTCCTGGATTCCACTGCTAGCCACTATCCACTACTACGTTGTGCAAACACTCGTAGAATAAAACTACTTGAATACTACCTACTTTTGATTGTATAAAATCATGTTGTGTAGATGTCGCTTTTAAATTTTATAGAATGACTTGTAAAATAATAAGGTTTCCACTATTAAATTCACCTAACAGAACAATTTTTAAATTAAATTTGTGAATCTCCTGTGTATAAAATGGCAACGAATTCTATAATCTCACATTCATAACATCAAATATATTAATACTTCTTCAGTCTTGCGTCATCCGATATTCTAATCCTAGTTATTGGTTACGAAAACTGCTGATCTAAGATTTATGCTAGCTATCATCCACCAACAACCTAGAAAAACTACTTCCAGAAGGATTTGAACTAGTGTTATAGTCAGAGACGTTACCACTGAAATATTACATAACTCTTGCGATGATAATTCGTAATGTTATGAATTTTTGTAACGTATAGATGATATGCAGTGAAATTGATTTTTGAACATAAAATTATGATGTCGTGGAATATCTTAAATGTTGTCAGAGTTATCGCAAGCCCACATATCCATGGAGTTCAATATTGTGAAGCTATTCTTTAATATTGGTAAATAAATACTCAGTATCATACTAGAAAAAATGAGTCATTTACAAATATTATTCAACATTTTGAATTCCTAACAGGCGTAAGTGATGTTGAGTCTTGTTTTCAAAGGATAAAATTGGTCAACAGAAAATTGTAGACTCAGTTTTTGCGCTATTTGGTATTTCTCGACAAGACATATTTATAGACCTAAGGGAATTGATACTCTTCAGGGAATTTAACAACGTATAAATGAGCTGTTTCAGATGGATCTGTAAGAATGAGATATTCAAAGTAATTAACCAATACCTATTAATGTCATATTTACCCAATCCTTTCAAAAACCATATGATACATTAAAATAAATAGTTTAATCCTGAAAAATATGAAGTTAGTTTACAGTATAACAACTATAGAGCATGATAAAATGATTCATCTGTATAGATTATTATCACCTGAATTCAGTAAAAAGGAAACTACAACTGCATTATATCTTTGTATCATTTTTTTATTTATTCGCTTTCACTCTAATTAATGTTATTCGCGGATTGGTTGAAGTTAGACATTAACACCGTTGGATGCCGGCTAGCTCAGTGGTCTAGTGGCTAAGCGCTCAGGCGCGAAACCGATAGATCCTGAATCCGAATCTCGCAACGCAGGATCGTGAATGCGCACTGCTGAGGAGTCTTACAGTAGGACGAAACGGCCGTCTAGTGCTTCCAGGTTTTCTATGGTGGTCTAGCTTCAACTGATTCACGATCTCAACTATATAATGTTATTTCTATTTATAAATATTCATTACAAATATATGATACTAATGTTTAACCAAAAAAATATTTTTGACTTTTATTACAGCAATTCCTTACAGATCATGAAAATTTATCCCAATATAATCAATTTAATGATCCTAATTATTATTCCAATGAAATATTTGATATTCATTGGCAATTCAATGATATTGAAGGGAATATTGAAGAATTACCAACAATGATTATTAAAATATTAATACCAATTATAAATGATTCAATAAATAAACAATTAATTAATTCCAATGAATATAATACATTAATAAATAGTAATATAATTAATGATATTGAATTAATAAATTCAAAACAAAATTATAATTGTAATTTAAAGAATATAATGAGTAGTATAAAAAATGATGAAGAAAATAATTACAATAATGAATTAATACATGATAAAATGAAAATGATTGATTTACCTTATGAACAAGATACAATGAATAAAACTGATCAACAATATAGAATAATTGGTAAGTTTATTAGAAATGAAATAATAAATTTCATATTTTTCATTATTATTGTAAAGTTAATTTTAAATAGATACTACATTTTTAGAAGCAAAGATGTATAGTGGCTAGCAGTGGAATCCAGAACTCATATTTCGCCCTATTTTGGACTCGTCAGATGGATGTACCTGGATCACAGAATTGATGTTCATTCTGGGACTCGAACCTAGTACCGTTCGCTTCAGGATACACATATGCCAACAAGAGACTGATCAATTGGAGCCCTAAATAACAGTTGGAAGATTCAAACAAACGATACCAAGTGAATTCAAACATCGTTCCATTGCACAAGCAAGTGACTATCAGTACTCAGTAGCTAAGTGGATAATGCGATGACATTTGAAGCGAATGGTACTGGGTTAGAGTGCCAGAGTGAACATCAACTCTGATATGCAAGGTACGTCCATCTGAGGAGTACCAAATAGGACGGAACGCGCTCCTGGATTCCACTGCTATCCACCACCCATCTTTGCTTATAATGCTTGTGACTTAAGGCAATATTGAGGCTGTCCACACAGAATACACGCATGCCAACAAAAGACTGATCAATTGCAGTCCTAAATAACAAAGGGGAGATAACAGTAAACAACACATTACACATTTAGTATTAAATAAGATGGTTTTATCTAACTTTTTTGTAATAGAATACATTTAAAATGTTAGAGCATATTAGCAAATATTTTTATTCCTTTAAAAAAAATTTTCGTTATTGTTGATTATTTCATCATTTTGAAAAGAAAATTAGAAAATTAAATTTCTTCAGATCTCTTAATTCTATTTAAAATTATATTAATTGAAAATAACCAACATGAACTTTGACACAGACAATGACCTAAATATTTTCAAAATTGTTAAGTTCCTTTCTTGTCCTTCTTTTTTATGAATTTCAGCTTCTTTTAACCAATTTACTTTTCTATCTTGTCCTGAGTTTCTTGTTCAATCTTATCTTTATTTTCTATTTATATTTTGACTTTATATAATTCAGTAGTTTTTGCCATTTCTTTTAATTTTGTCTATCTTTCAGTTCACTGTCCATGTTCGTATCCATATATTTGTATTGATGGGTGAGTGGATACTCTGTCCCAATTCGTAATTAGAAAATAATTAAAAAGGAAAGAAAAGAAAACCTAGACGATCGACACTTTATTAAATTGCATTGCTAATTGCATTGCCTAATATAATGATTTAATTTAATAAAAGAAAAAACCAGTTGACGAAAAGAAGAGAACATTAGTTGCAATTAACGTGTAAGTGTATCAGTAGGAGGAAAGAAGTAAAAATAGTTCCACAGCTTTAGGGACATACATAAATAGAAGGAGGGAGAGAGAGAGGAATACTTCTTACTGTGGAGAAAAGTAAGACTTTGGGTAGAAAGGTGAATAGTTTTTTTTCAAAAATCAGCAATACGTGTAGATTCACCTGAAGCTATACAATAAAGAAAACTGTATAAACTTAAGAGACTAGTCATTTAATTATCAATTAATTTCAAAGTAATTAATTTGAAAAAATTATTTACTGTAAGCACACTTTAGATTTGAGAAGTAAACGAGAGGAAAACAATTAGTGCGATGTTATACATATAAATTGTCGGCCATTTATGCAAAGAATCTTTCTTGTTTGCCTCTTCAGTCTTTTTCTTTCTTTTTAACCATTTTATATCCCAAGATGAATGTTGCTATACTTCACAAGAGTTGTTTTCCTTTATGTGCATTTCAATAGTTCGTCCACATACACATACATACATATTATACTCTCCCGGAATCTTGTTATTGAATTTTCTGTTATGATTAGCAACGAATTAATTGCAATTATATCTTCTTTGAAAAAAAAATTATTGCCATAATTGGGATAATTATCATAGTATTGATCAATAAATTTGGATAAGTAGACAAAATTAAACTATTTGTTTTCTCTATATAGTTTATTTAATACTTTCTATATATATCACTATGACTGAAATTTCAAAACCAGAAAAAGGTTGACTCCTCTCGGATTCCAGCCCATTAGCGTTAATCATCACCATTATTAAAATTAAATTACAAGATTGAATTTTATGGATAGAGATTTTTTTGAATACAGTATTATCATTCGTTAACATAATTAATTTTAGCTTGAACTTGTTCCATTTACAGTTCATATCTTATCATTGGAATGTTGTTAATTCCATAGTAAATGTAAGTTAACACAACAGTAGATTGTTATTGTTTATAACATCTTTGCGTTATTTAAAAATTGCTTGTAAGTGTTCAACGGTTTCTAATCATTTCATTCAGACACTAACTAACCAGCTAAAGGGTTCGTCTGTCAGGTAATTATGTAATAATGATTATGGAAAACTTCTCAGTTAATCCTAATAATAATGATCATAAGGAATGATTGTTCACGTGTCTCTAATTTGAAACAGTATTTTAAATAATGATATATATATGTACATATGAATAAGAAGAGGATTTAATATTGTGGTACATAAAACAACCGTTTACTTGGTTCCTGTTAATTTATATTAAGAAGATACATTAAAGAATAAATACAATAGTAAGTCAAATATTACGAAATTCCATTACTCGTTCAAATATTAAGTAGGTAATTGAAAGCACTATTTCTTAATTAAGATTGGTGAGAGAGATTATTCAGTTCAAACCACTGGCTACCAGTATACTAGTCTAAACCTGATGCACTTATCACAATGCTTTCAGGTTTCAGGTTCAATTACTGACGTGATCGTGAGCACACACTCATAAGGAACTCCATATTAGAATGGTGCAATTCTCCAAGGTCTCCTGGTTTTCAGTGGTTATCTAGATAGATCCAGTGACATAAATAATCTTCAAATAGCTTAGAATTTTTTGATTATCACTTCAGATATATTACAATTCATTTATATAATAGTCATAAGCTTCTTAATAACTATAAATATTCAATACTAGGATAAATAATATTAAATTGTTCTTCATCATTGGTCATCACACTTTACGTATGCTTTTAATTATATTACATTAGATTAGGTCCTTACGACAGAGTTGAATAACTACAATTCAAGTCATATGAATTAAATTTTCATTGAAGTAAAAAATGCCTATGATATTGAATACATACAAATCTGAAATATAATTTCGCAATATTTTAGAGACTGTTTTATCTCAATTATACAAGTGAAATTTTAATAAAATCCAATTATTTTCTAAGTCCTAGACTGTGAGTGAAGTTTACAATAATAAGCGGTAAAAAAGATCTTAACAAACTAATTATATATGTATCTTATTCTGAGAATATATATTAATAATTTATGAATAAAAATTAAACAATTGATGAAGTTGTAAATTTTCATCGACTGAGATGGTTGGGACATGTGTTATGTATGCCTGAACACCAATTACCATGACTAGTATTGGAGATGGTTGAAATAAAGTTAGGGGCAGCCAGACCAAAACGTGGCATCAGTGCTTGAAGTCACCAACCTTCTGGTCTGAGCTATGTTGGTAGATGCAGACCACTTGAGGGGTCAATGCGACTATCGTAACTAATGGTTGCAGATTCTGTGTGACATGATTCAGAATCGGTCACAATGGCATAAGTATATACACTCTTTGTCTTTCCTCAAACCGTGAGATCAAAGTTGTGTTATATCTTTCTACCAAATCATTATTTCTTCCTGTATTACCTTTATAAACAATCTCTTTTATATATTACTACCAATGAATTAACTATTTCTATGAATTTGGTGTTCATCTTGTTGTGCTAATGAGATGTAGCAACTTAGACCGATGCATATATGTCCCTCGTCCTACGTTGTAACTGACTGATTGAATAAAAAGTACAAACATTTAAATTTGATGTTTGTTAACAATTCACATTATAGATAAACATATACTCTTCCTTAGCAGAGATGGATAGAGACTGACCAGTTGCAGTCCTAACAAATCGATGGGGAGATTCAAACAAACAATACTAAGTTGAATATACTCTTTCTGTTGATAAAACCATATATTTTTGTGATAAAAGAAAAGCGTATAACTTATAAGCGCAAGAAATTATTTCGTTTCTGTCTTGATTTCATCATAACCCAAACGCATTGTCAATTTTTCAAAGATAAAAATTGTGAATAGAAGTAAAATCATCTCTAAGTACTCATCGATTTTCAGAAAAATAAAATAAAATTAGGATTATCAGGGACTGATGGACTAGTTTAACAACATCTTGTAGAATTTTCGATGATTATTGTAGACATTGTGTATAAGGTCTCGAAATATAATTCTTAAAATTTGACTGTTATGTTCTTTTTTTCTATAGTTTGATGTATAGTACTTTTCTAAATTATGATTTTTAATTGAACAAACAGTAGTCAGAACTATTCTGATAAGAACTCGGAAAATTGTAAATTCGTTTTCGTTTTTAAATTAGATTATGGTGATGGAGATTTACATGAAATCTAAGCAAGTCATCGGTAAAGGGTATCATGTACACGCATTATTTGACAGATAAATAATCACAAAATAAATAAAATCATCCTCATTGTAACTTACATAGAAAATAGATATCATTTCATTAGAGGTATAAATTCTTTATCATAAGATATCAAATTATTGAATTATAGAACTAATAAATGGTCGACTTCAGTGCACATTATTTAATAATATGGTAGTTATCTTTACAGAACAAGCTTCAACTACAGTTCAATAGTCAATTTTGATGTCTATTGAACTATCTGTCATTATTTGTTCATTTTTTATACTGTATTGAGCAAACAATAGAGTATATTTATAACCAAAGTGGATACTTCTAATTTTGTTGTATTCTTTCATTTGAACTAAATCATCAAAATAGACATTTTAGAAAATACACATTTACATGAATTTGGACCCAATGAAATTGTCCGAAACAACAATGAAATCTTTAAGGTCAAACAGTTCAGCTTAGAGAATGTAAAACATCAATTCTGATATTCTTTAAATAAACCTTTCTCA